GTTATTTCAGATGTTTTATATCACTGCTGTGATGGACCAGTACTCAAAGTTACATTGAGAAGTGCTGTTGAATAATAAGAATTGCTTCTTTTACATAATGTTTCATCAAATTTACCAAAATCGTCACAGGCACTAAAAGCATTCTTAAATCCCAAAATATTCAAGGGGCAATTGGAGAAGATGGAATAAATTTATTAACTACCAATAGAGGAAAAAGTGCTCAGGAAACTATAACCTTTCTAAAGTGACAGTGTCATCACAAACTCATGGGGCTAAAGACCAATAATGAAGAAGGGTCACCAGACCCATAACGTTAGCTCTGATTTCCTCCACAGATGCTGCCAGATCTCGTGAGCTTTTCAAGCAATTTCTGTTTTTGTTTGTGTTTGTAAAACATGGAGAGTCAGGGGATTTTCAGGATAGCACCCTGTGATAGTGGTGTACTTTGTTAGGAAAGTTAGAGGAGCTAAATATTATTTAAAGACTACAGGAAGCTACAGAATAGAGATTTACAGGTTCTTGTCTATGAATCACAAAGAGTTAGCATCCAAGATCAATGGGTAACAGGAAAGGCAAATGGGATATTTTGATTGGAGTATTTTACTATATAAGACACAGTCAGACCATAGCGAGAATACTATAACAATTTTGGGCCTCATTTCAGGAAAGATATATTGTCTTAGGAGGCAGTCCAGATAAGGTTCATGAGGCTGATAACAGGCATAGAGGGACTGTCTTCTGAGAAGTGGTTGAGTAGATTGGGTCTGTGGTCACTTGATTACAGAAGAATTAGAAGTCATTTTATTGAAACAGGCATGATTCTCACAGGACTGAACAGGGTTGATGCAGAAATGTGGCTTCTTCTCATGGAGAGAGTATAGGACCAGAAGGCATATTTGCAGAATAAGGGTTTGCATGCTTAAATCAGATGAGAAATTTCTGTGGAATTCTTTACCATAGAGGGCTGGATTATTAAGTCTGTTCAAGGTTGAGACAGATTTTTAATCAGTAAGGAAATCGAGGATTATGGAAAAAATGCAGGAAAGTGGACTTAAGGATTTTCAGATCAGCCATGATCTCATTGAATGGTGGAGCAGACATGACGGACCGAATAGCTAACTTCTGCATATATGTCTTATGGTCTTATGGTTATCCAGAAGAAATAACAACGTGCAGTCACCTATTTTAAGCTAAGTGGCTGGTCAGTCTACTTTAAAGACATGCTGTTTGGGAGAAGAAAGTTACCTCAAATGATTTTAAACTCTTGAGTGCAAGTTTTGTTGTTGGTTGAGGCAGAACAGTTGTCTGAAATCTGAGTTAATAAAAGCAGAGGAATCATACTGTTTAGCTATTTGAGCCCAAACTGATTATTGTCCTCATTTTTAGTGAGGTTGAATTCATGTTCATATTTTGTTTTTCCTAATGGTTTTGTTTCAAGGTTCTTCACAAAGTTTGGGATAATTGGAGGCTCTGTGTACATTATTTATGACCAGGACTTATTTGGAAATGGGGAGCGCAGTTTGGAGATATTGAAGACTACGTCAAATGTGCTACCCGTTGCTATGGATCACTGGGCCAAGTATTTTGGTGTGGAGGTACAGTATATAATCTGAGAAAATTCTTTTCTTGTTTATTCTTTGTCTCCTGTCTCCTGCTCCTGTTTTGATTGAGCTGGGCTGCCATTGTTACCAGAACCCTTCAGTTCCGTTGCCCAAGAAGCTTTACTTCTGGCGTGAGTTCAAAATGATTGTACAGGGACTCTGTAGTTGAATATGTGTGCGCGTGAGTGAAAGAATATGAGAAAAATTGTGCCCAAGAAGAGACTGATGCAACTAGCTGGCTTGTTAGAAAATGGCTAGCTGGAAAATGTTAATCCATCCTAAAGGATGCAATAGCAGAACATTTAAAAATACATAATATAATTAAGCCGAGTCAGCTTGACTTCACAAAGGGGAGATCTTTCTACTCAAATTTATCACCATTACCGCCAGGCCAGGGGGATCAGCTCTGGTTCAATGCCAAGTGCTGGAGAGCAGACCTGGAGCAACCCTATTATGTAGAAAATTGCCCAGTTATGTTCAGTACATAAAACAGGACAAACCTACCTAATCAATTACTGCCCATTCAGTCTACTTTCAATCATCAGTATTGTGGTGGAAGAGGTCATCAACAGTACTGTGAAACAGCACTTGCTTAGCAATAACCTGCTCACTGATGCAGAGTTTAGGTTTAGCCAGGGCCACTCAGCTCCTGGCTTCATTACAGCCTTACTTCAAAGATGGACAAAGGTGAGGTAACTGTGGCTGCCCTTGACATCGAGGCTGCATTCGACTGATTGATAGCAAGGGCCTCAAGCAGAACTGGCGTCGGTGGCAATCGGGATTAGAGTCTCCGCTTATAAGAATCATACCTAGCACAAAAGAAGATGTTTGTGGTTGTTGGAGGTCAATAACCTTCACTCTAGGACATCTGCAGGAGTTTCTCAGGGTAGCGTCCTAAGTCCAGCTATAGTCAGCTGCTTCATCTTCCATCCCTCATCAGAAGGTCAGAAATGGAAATATTTGTTAATGACTGGACAATGTCCAGCCCATTCATGACAACTGAGATACTGAAGCAGTCCATATGTAAACGTAGCAAGACCTAGACAATATCCAGCTTTGGACTGATAAGTGTAAAGTGATTTGCATGCCACACAAGTGCCAGGCAATGATCATCTCCAGTGACAAACAATCTAATCAATGACATTGCCATCACTGAAACCTTACTATCAACATTGTGGGGTTACCATTGACCAGAAACTGAATTAGCCAAGCTGCATAAATACAGTGGTTACAAGAGTAGGTCAGAGGATATAGCAAATAACTCTCCTCCTGATGCTCCAGACTCCTCCATTTACAAGGCAGAAGTCAGGAGTGTGATTAAATTCCTCAAAATTTCCTGGATGAGTGCGGGTCCAGCAATACTTGAGAGGCTTCACACCATCAGGACAAAGTAGCCCACATGATTGGCACCATACTCTCAAACATTGACTCCTTCTGCTACTGACACTCAGTAGCAGCAATATGTACCATTTATAAGATTCCCTGTAGAAATTCACCAAGGGGTCTTAGACTGTACCTTCCAAACCCATGACCACTACATCTACAAATTACAAAGGCAGCAAATAGACGGGAACACTACCAGCAAGTTCCTTTCTAAACAACTCCCCATCCTGACATAGAAACATACAGCCAGACCTTCAGTGTCACTGGGTCAAAATCTGGAAACTCCCTTCCTAATGCCATTATGGGTGTACCTACACCAAATCGATTGCGGTGGTTCATAAAGGCAGCTCACTACCACCTGCAAGGGCAGTTAGGGATGGTCAGTAACTGCTGCATCAGCCAGTGACTTGCACATGGCATGAGTGAATATAAAAAAAACTAGCATTTCTTGAGAAGGTAACAAACAGGATTGATAAAGGCAAATCATTAGGTGTAATATCTTTGGTTTTTCAAAACTCATTCAATAAGTTTAATAAGATAACAGCTTACGGTCTTGGGGATAGTATATTGGACAGAGGATTGGCTAATTAATAGAGGATAGAATTGGGATAAGTGTAATTCTCCTGAAAATGGCAACCTGTAATTAGTAGATCAGGCAGAAGTCACATGACACCAGGTTATAGTCCAGCAGGTTTATTTGAAATCACAAGCTTTCAGGGTGCTGCTCCTTTGTCAGGTGAACTATAAACTGATATTGGGTGAGTTCTGACTTTGTCCACCCTAGTCCAACACCAGCACCTCCACAATGTGGATCAGTGCTGAGGATCACAATTATTTACAATATATATTGATGACTGGAAGATGGAAGTGAATGTACTATAGCCAAGTTTGCAGATGACATAAAAATAGATGGAAGGGCATGTTTTAAGAATGACAGAGGCATATAGACAGGTTAAGTGAGTGGGCAAGAGCTTGGCATATGGAATATGATTTGGGGAAAATGTGAGGTTATGCACTTTTCAGCAGGAAGAATAGATGAAAATATTAATTATAAAATGTTATTTTTAAAATTCGATCAAATGGAGAAAGCTGCAACACAGCCTTATGGATTCACACACATGAATGATAAAAAGCTAGCATATACAAGTTCATTGGTAATAGGAAAGCAAATGGAATGTTGGCCTTTAATTTTAGAAGGAATGGAGTATAAAAATAGGGAGGTCTTGCTAAAACTATATGAGGCATTAGTCATCCCCGTACCTAGAAGACTGAACAGTTTTAGTCCCCAGTCTAAGGATGTACTGGCTTTGTTGACAGTGCAAAGAAGGTTCAATAGTTTGATCCTGGGTATGGAGAGGCTGTCTTATGAGGAAAGTTTGAGTTGTTTAGGCCTGTATTTATTGGAGCTCAGAGTCAGAAGTGACCTTATTGAAACGTACAAGATTCCTGGGGATTTGACGTGGAAAGGTTGTTTCCATTTGTGGGAAACTCTCGGACCAGAGAGAATAATCTCGGGTTGACCGTTTAAGACCGTGGTGAGGTGGGATTTCTACTGAGGGTAGAGAACCTGCATAATTCTTTACTGCAGAGGTCTGGGTCATTGAGTGTGTATTCTAAGTTGAGAAAGATAGATTCTTGATCATTAAGGGAATTGATGGTTATGTGGAAAAGGCAGGAGAGTGGAGTTGAAGATTATCAGACCAGTCATGAATCTCGCTGAATAGTGGAGCAGGCTTGATTGCCTGAATGGGCTCCTGCTTGTATGTCTTATGGGCATTTCAAACAGCAGATCAGCCTCTACCCTGCTAAAGTGTGACTGGAGTGACATGGTGGATAAACTGGATAAGACAACAGGTTACTCTTCCTTTTGTAAATTGAAGTCCTCAAGTTAACCATGCCTTTAGATTGAGGAGATTTGGTTGGAGTATTTGACAGCTTTCCTGACTGAGATAAATAATTCTTTGAATTGGTGACTGAATTTGAGACTTTCCAGTGTGCATGAATCTGTTACCTTCATCAAAGGAACAAGAGGGCATTGGTCAAAGTACTGTCTGTGTGAATTTGTATGTTCCTGTGCCCAGTATTTCTTAACCCCTATAATAACTTTTTAAAAAAAACTTGTTCTGATCAAATCTCCTCAGTCCAAAGCCAAAGTTGTTGAGGTTCTATAAAAGGAAAGAAAACCTGTTATCCTTAAATTCCAGTCTCATTAGTGTAGTGTTTCTATCTGAAATTACTTAACAAGCCAACCAGTTGTTAATGCCTTCTTGAGAGCAGTTTTTGTTTAATACTGTGATGGGATGTGTTCCTCGCTGATGAGGCCAGCATTATTCGATCATCCCTAATTGCCCTTGAACTGAGTGGCTTACTGGGCTATTTCCAAAAGCATAAATGGATAGGTGAGGATTTTGTGACAGTTGATGTGGAGCATCATAGTTTTAATTCCAGATTTATTAATTGAATTTAAATTCTTTGAATTAAATTTCCTTGCTGTGGTTGGATTTGAACCCATGTCCCCAGAATGTTTCTGAAGAAGGGTCTAGGTCCAAAACGTCAGCCTTCCTGCTCCTCTGATGCTGCTTGGCCTGCTGTGTTCATCCAGCTCTACACCTTGTTATCTCAGTTTCCCCAGAATGTTAGCCTGAGTTATTAGTCCTGTTGCATTCCACTATGCCATTGATGCCCTCAAACATAGATATTTTTAAGTGTCCAAGATAAGAACGGTTGTATATGTGTGTACTGTGTAAATGTGAGAATATATGTTTTCTATGTAATTTGAACCATGGCGATGACATCTATGCATATATGTTGAGCAGTGATCCATGAATTGCTGACAGTGTGTATGAAAGGAACAGCTGTAGCCTGAGCTATAATGTCTGACCATTTATATTCTCTTCACAGCTACCAGAGGTTCCCAAGCTGAACGTTCCCATTAATGAGTACTGGAATACAGGTAAATAGGGGGTCGGTTAGCTCAATTAGCTGGATGGCAGATTTGCAATGCAGAGTGATGCCACTGTGGGTTCAGTTCCTACACTGGCTGAGGTTTCTGTAACGAACTCCCCTTCTCAACCTCTCTCCCTGTCCTGAGGTATAGTGACTCTCCATTTAAACGTCCACCAGTCACCTCCCTTTAATGAGAGATTAGCCCTATGGTCTGGTAAGATTATGGCAACTTTTACAGGTAAATGAGTGAAATGTCCAAAGATAAACTTCAATAAAATGTTGCCGAGCTTCATGCCCGCCTTTGAAAAGTCACTTCAAACAGATGCTAAACTGGTGTGAACCTGGACTTGCAATGATTGGAGGTGACTAGGTTGTGAAGAGGCACTGGGACCCCAGATCCTTCATCTTTTTTGCAGGAATTACTGGATCTTGAACAGTAGCAGGAATTCTTTATTTTCCTCTCTAGTTATAAACACAGTAATTTTATGAAAGGTGGTAACTGCTCTCCTGTACATTCTAATAACTAGGGCTAAAGACAGGAATTTTAAAAATTGTGCATTGTAGCCAGAGCTTCACAGTCTGCTATTTGACATTCTGTTGCACTGACTTAAATCCACACAGCAACATTCACTTTGCAGTTAAAACTGTGGTGTTAGGATAATTTTGGACAATGCAAAAGATTTGAATATAATTTTGCACATTTTTAAGATTTTCTGTATAGTCAAAAAGTCATCAGAAGTCAAGGCAGCCAATTTCTAGATCATGTCCAGTGAAGTTAGGAATCACTTAGAGTTAAGTTCACACCAAAAGAGCCTCCTTCAGCTCTACTTCATCTCATTCTGTCAGCATTTTTCTTGAATGCTTGTTCTCATGTGTTTACCTTTACCTACTTACACGTATCTGTGCTATTTGCCACAACAACTTGCACCTTCAATAGAAGAGCATCCCAATGGTGATTCATGGGAGTACATCAGTCAATAATTTGATACTGAGCTTTATAAGAGGTGGGATAGCAGGGCCCCACAGAGAGTGCTAGGAACCTAGACTGAGGAAGGCACTTTTGCCAGCAGGGTGATCCTGAAAATAGTAGATGCATAAGTGGCTAAATTGGAGGAATGGCAAGGCAGGGAGGTTAAATCAATGAAACAGGACTACACAAACTGAATGTTAAAGAAACAACTTTATTTCCCAGTAGTGGTAGCATTGACAAATGCAGAGACGAGGACGCTGTTTAGAGCAGAATGAGACTGTTCCATATGTTACGTGTGTGTGTGTGTGTGTGTGTGTTGCCCCTTTTAGAGAGTGGGTCAGGTGACCTGAAAGTGTGAGCTAGGGAAGGCAGTCTAAGACTGATCGTGGAGTTGAGTCGTACAATAAAGTATTCCCTGTTCAAGTTTACCCTTCGTATATCTCATGTTCTATTTATGGTTCTAGTGAACCACAAACATAATTACCGGTGATGAGGTTAGGATGCAGCCCTCAAACTGTATGCAAATACCATTTTTTCTTTTTTGTTGAGAGGAAGGATGTTGCCTGGGCTTTGAAAACTGCGCACAATTGTAGAAATAATGTCAAGAGAAGTGGTCGTGAGGGCACTCGGGCTGCGATTGAAGCTGGGGGAGAATGGTACTTTGTGCTACTGACAGACCACAGACTGCTAACCATCGATGTCAGCAGCGTGCCTGCAGAGATGGGCACTGGCTCTGTCAGCCTACTCGTAGGAAATCAGATACAGACAGTTGGAGAAGCTCTGACAAGGCAGATGCTTTACCAGTGTTACCATTACCGGGAAATAAGGTTGTTTCTGACTGGAACCTGAAAATTATGTACATTTTCCCAGGAATAACCAGGTACCAGTGTCAGAATGTCAAGTGTGGACCACTACTTGTAATGACCCAGTCTTGAGCCTATTGGTGGACTTGGTCCTGAGGGGAGGGGCTTGTCATAAAAACCATCCAGAATTACACCCTCACCTGTCCAGGAGGTGAGAGTCGTTCGTATCAGGTAGATGTTTAATGTGGAGAATGAGCGTTCTTTCCCAAGAGGAAAGGTGCTGGAACAAGTGCACCTGGAAAATCACAGAGTCAGACATGAGATTGGATCCGTATCACCCTGCGATCATCAACCAGGCAAAGAGATTTTCACAAACCTGGCAACAGGCCATAAAGGTCTCACAAGGGGAGGATTCTCTAGGATGGCAACTCGACAAGTTACTCAGCATGTACAGGAACATGCCATATGCAATGACACAATGCTTACCAGTGTCCTTAACTGCCAGCTGAGAACCATGTTTGACTTACAGGGGCCAGAGGCCAGATAAGACCAGAGAGGTGGTACAGTGAAATCAAGAAGGACAGATGGTTAGAAGAGTGGGAAACTCCAGGTTGAGAGTATTCCAAAGAGGAGAGACTGTGTTGGCCCAGAATTATAGTGTGGGAAAAATAGATCCCAGTGGTGGTAGTGATTCAGACAGGACTGTTGTCATATACAGTGCAGCCTAGGGATGCACTGGCCTGGAGGAGAGTGCGGATCAGCTGGTCACTTCACCTTACCAATGGGGGAAGTACTTCAGAATAACGAGCTAATCCATATGGGACCAGTAGTGCCGATGCAATCATGTGTCTCTGAGCCAGGGTTGGCCACAACACCCAGGGAGGAGATAATGGCAGCATCAGAGGGCAACAACAGCCAATCAGAGAGGGAGGTATCTGAAACAACAGGAGCTTTCGAAAGTCTAGGGGACTAAACTAGAAAATGTTCCTGAGACAAGGGAATGGTCTTCTGGGAATCACCAACCTACTGGGAGACTGATTATGTCAGTGTAGACTACAGAAGTGTGGTTTTCCTTTTCCATTTGTTTTTGTAAATATTCCTGGCAATGTACATATCAGTTACAATGCCTGTATAATAGTAATGATTGGATATATAGCTAAGGGGAGTATTGAAATGAAAGGTGCATGGTGTTTTGCCTGTAGTTGGGTGTGTATTGCCTCTTTCAAGAGAGTGGGTCAGGTGACCTGGCACGGGAGCTATGGACTCAGACTTAGACTGACTGTCGAGCAGAGAGTCCTACAATAAAGTATTCCCTATTCAAGTCTACCTCATGTTCTAATGAACAACAAACATAGTGTCATGAAAAATGAAATGTATAACAAATGCTAGGGAGATGCCAGCTTTACACGGTTGGAGTAGTCGACTCCAGATGAAGAGTAAGAACAGGTACATGATATAGATTGATTGCTTGTTCTCTATGACTTGGTGTGACTGGAGAATAAGTCTCTGACTTTTAGATAGAATTCAGAATGTTTTAATGATTTGTGTTTTGCCACATTGGACCATTTAGCCATTGGGTGGATAAGTGTCTCAGAAGTGGGGAGGAGTGTTCTGAAGATTGGATGAGCTCTTTGGATAACTTATAAAGACAATAACAAATAACAGCAGAAAGATGCTAGAAATGCACAGCAGGTTTGTCAGTGTTCAAAAGAGCAGTTGATTGGTTGATGTTTTGGCTAGAGATACTTGGACTTCCTGACGTTGAGCCCTGCTACTCCATGAAAACTGGGCAACTGGGTTAAGTAATGGAATAGTTGTGGCCATGTTACACTCAGCTGGCAAAAACCTGCACCATGCAGAATGCCTGTAGTAAGTTTGCCTGTGCCTATACCTGTAGGAAAGTACTGTACTGAGCAGAATCTCCAGATTAACCAGCTTTTGTTTAAATTGTTTTGCAGGTGTTGAAGCTACCGCAGGCTTCTTGTCAGCTGCACCTACAAAATGTAACGAATACACTCAGAAAGGTTGGCAATACGTCAAAAACCTCACCAACAAAACAGAGTAAACAGCTCCATCATTATAATAGTTTTTGTTCATGACCACAAACTGTAACAAAATGTAAATAATTACATGATGGTAATAAAATGTGTTTGAATTTACATGTCGTGCTGTCAGGAAAGGGAGTCACTATTTAATACTCTCAGAAGCTAATGAAAGTTGTTTAATGTGTATTTTCTTGTCAGTGTGATTTCTGCAGTCTGCTTTCAGATTGCTAATTTAGAGGAAAAACAAAAGACCCTAGTCTGTCTAGGTAGGATCACAAATACCACTTCATTCTTCACTGTAAAATATTAAAGACAAATCTCCTAGCTGTACTGCTGGAGAGGATGAGATACATAGCTGGAGTTTGAATAAGTGACCCAGGATCTTCCCCAGATAGAATGGAGGGTTATTGGGATGAAGTCACGTTTTACCAAACACAAGACACTTTCAATTAAATGTAAATGATTAGCGTTTCTACAGTGGTGGTTTTTATCAGTTGGAATGTACTTATTAGTACTTTTGAAATGTATTTTATTACTAGCATACCATTTACCCAATCAGCTATTGTGTCCACTGCATAGAAAGGCTATTCAGCCTACCCTGTCTGCCCGGCTGAATGAACTAGCTGCCCATTCTAATCCCATGTACTGGTATCTGGTCTGTAGCCTTGCAGGTTCCAGGATTTCACGTGTGGATCCAGGTTCCTTTTAAATGAGTTGAGGGTTTCCATCTCCGCCACCAAACTGGGCAATGAATTCCAGACACCCACTACCCTTTGGTGAAAATGATTTCCCTCCCGTCCCCTCTAATGCTTCTTAACTCTGTGTCCCTAGTAATTGACTGCTATGCTATGAGAAAAAGGTCTTTCCCTCCACTCTATCCAAGTCCCTCATTATTTCACTCACTCACCTCAAAGGAAAACAACCCTAACCTATCCAAATCTTCTTGCAAACCTGCAATTTTCAAATCCTGGCAGGATTCTTTTAATCTCGTCTGCATGCTCTGAAGCAATGGCATTTTTTCTGTAATGTAGTGACCAGAACTTTCAATGAAACTCCAGCTGTGGCCTAATCGTTGTATAGTTCCAGCATTACATCCTTGCTTTTTGTATTCAATTCCTCAGCCAGTGATGGAAAACAGCTCATATGTATGTACCAACTTATTTCAATGTCCTGCCACAGTTGGGGACCTGTGAATACGTGCTCCAAAATCGCTTATTTCCTCTACCCCTCTCAATGCCTCCCTGTTTGTTCCCTTGCTTTGTTTGCCATCCCCAAATGCATAACCTTGCACTTCTACGGCTTGATTCTATTTGCCACTTTTTCACCCACTTGACCAAACCATTAATATCTTCCAGCAGTTGATAGCCGTCTGTTTCACTATCAACTATCTTGTCAACTTTTTTTTGTTGTTTGCAAATTTCCTTATCATTGCCTCCCACATTTAAGTTTAAATCATTAAAATATGCCACAAATAGCCAGAACCCAATACTGCCTTGTGGAACACCACTGGAAACTATCTGTTGACCATTATCGTTTGTTTTTGTTGCCTGGATTGGACAGTTTTAGTTACGAAGAGAGATTGGATAGACCGGATTTTGCTGGAGCAGAGGGGATGGATGAGGGTGGAGCAGGGACATGATGGGTATGTATAATATTCCAAAGTATTACACAAGGAGGATCTTTTGACTGGGGGCATAGCTTTGAGGTAGAGGCAGAAGATTTAGAAGGGGATTTTGAGGAAAAATGTTTTCATTCAGAGGGTGGTGGAAATCTGGAACTCTACTTGTAAAGGTGGTAGAGGCAGAAATCCACAACATTTAAGAAGTATTTAGATGTGCAGTTGCAAAGCCATGAGATACAAGGCTATGAGCCAAATGCTAAAAATAGAATTCGAAGAGTTAGGTGCTTGTTTTTGACTGGTGCAGACTTGATGGGCTGAAGGGCCTTTTCCTGTCCTGTAGGCCTGTACGTTTTCTGTCTGTAAATAAATTTTGGATCAAACTCACCACATTCCCCTGTATCCCAAGGGCTTTAATTTTTCTCAGCAGTCTGCCATTTGGGACCTTGTGAAATGCTTCACTAAAATCCATGAGAAATATTCACTGCAGTACCCTCACCAATCCACCTTGTTACTTAATCATTAAATTGATTTTTCCTACACCTTTAATTTAAACATTGACAAGATAGATGAATTTCAGAGGTGAAATGTGAATGACTGTTCTTAATGTCAAAGCTGCATTTAACCTACTATGAAATCAAAGTGCCTCAGCAAAACCGGAGTCAATGGGAATCGGGGAATAACTCTTTGCTGGTTGGAGTCATACCTGGCACAGGAAATTGCTCGTAGTTGATTGAGGTCAGTCATTTCAGCTCCAGGGCATCTTTCCAGGAGTTCCTCCGTGCACTATCGTAGGTCCAACCATCTGCAGCTGCTTCATTAATGATCTTCCCTCCTTTGTAAGGTCAGATGTAAGGATGTTCACTGATGATTGCACCATGTTCAGCACCATTCAGCTCTCAAATACTGAAGCAGTCCATGTCCAAATGCATCAAGACCTGGACACTATCCAGGTATGGGACGATAAGTGACAAGTAATGTTTGAGCTAGGTAATGACAATCTCATACAGGAATGAATTTAACCATCCAACCTTTTATATTCAATATCATTACCGTTACTGAATCCCCCTAGAGTGAAAGGTAAGACTGGTAAGATTAAGGGACAGTGGATGAATAAAGATATTGAGGTTTTGGTCTAGAGTAAAATAATTTTTTTTAGATATAGACAACTTGGTTCAATTGAATCTCTTAATCAATATAAAGAGTGTAGGGGCATTCTTAAGATAGATATCAGGAAGGCAAAGAGGGGATATGAGATAACATTGGCAGATAAGGTTAAGCATAATCCAAAGAAATTTTACAAATACACTAAGAGCAAGAGAGCGACTAGAGAGAGGGTTGGGCCTTTTTAAAGATCGAGGAGGCCACCTTTGTGTTGAACTGTAGGAGATGGGAGGGATACCAAATGAATATTTTGCATCAGTTTTTACCTGTGGAGAAAGAAGTGGAGTCTAAAGAATGCAGAGCAATAAACTTTGATGTTTTAAAAATAGTTCACATTATGGAAGAGGAGTTTCAGGAGGTCTTAAAGGATATAAAGGTGGATAAATCTTTGGTACCTGATCTAATGTGTCCCAGAATGTTGTGGGAAGTAAGGGACAAAATCACGTGACCCCCAAGCAAAAATATTTGTATCATGTGTAACTACAGATGAGGTGCCTGATGACTGGAGGGCGGCTAATGTTGTACCTTTGTTTAAGAAAGGTTGTAAGGAGAAACCAGGGAACTATAGGCCTGTTGAGTCTGACATTTGTTGTGGGTAAATTGTTGGAGGTGATTATAAAAGGTAGAATTTATGGACATTTAGAGAGGCAAAAATTGATTAGGGATAGTCAG